AATATTCAAATTATAAACACTAAAAAGGGGAATGAAATTTTGACAAATGCAAAAAAATAGAATAGGCAAGTCAAGCAAAGCCAGACAGACTGAGACCCTCTACCTGGCAGGCAAGGGTCCTTCAGGCAGATGCAAGCCTGATGCACAGAGCTGCCCCTGTCCTGAACCCACGCACAGCCTGATGGGATCTCTGTGGCCAATCCTGGTGTCATAGGAACATGCAATGTCATAGCACTTTGCACTGTACACAGCCCAGTGCAGACACAAGGAGAGCTTGCTGTGTACTGACTGCCCGAGATCCCCAGAAGCTGCTCACCCTTTGGGGAGACAAGGAACCCACACTCCCAACACAGTGAGGACTTGAGTAACAGAACAGAAAGTGAACACAGCACTCAGGCAAATCTCCTCAAGGAAGCCTCAGTCTCCCCCACCTGCCTTTGTCCCTCTGCTCAGGTCCCTTTCTGGCAGTGTGACCAGGACTGCTAACTCCTCTCTGGCCCCAGGATTCAAGGTCAGGGATGGCCTGGAAGTGACAGTTGGAGACAGCCCTGCCCCATACCTCCTCTAAGAAAGGCCCTGGTTTTTCTCCACCATACAGCTTCCCCAGGGCTCTGAAGAGTGTGCTGTTGTGACGAGGTTTGGGTAGGAGAGGGTTAGCAAGCCTTTCAAATATACGTATCTAAACCTGCCAAATGTCCACAGCTTCCTAGTAAATGTATGGGAGGAACTAGGTAGAAAAAAAGTGACAGCTGACTTAAAGGAATCCTGCTCTACACATCAAGATCCCAGCAACAGTGTGGCCTAGAAGGGAAATACGCAGGTGACTGCTCCACTCACCAGCCTCTGAGAATGCTGCCCACTCCACCACACTTACCTTCACAGCCTCACAGCCACCTGGGTCTTGGGGTCTAGGCGCTGTGACTCTGGCACCAGTGGACAGGCAAGGGATGAAACTGGGGCAGCCTGCCAACTACCTGGCCTTTAGCCCAAGGAAAGGAAGCTTCAGAATACTTCTTTACCTGAGGCCCAAGAGCTGGGGCAGAGGCACATCCAGGGGGTGAATTGTATACAAGGGTCCCCTGGGACCTCCGTGGTCCAGCTCCTGAGGACCCAGGGATGTCCCAGCAGCAAGCCTGACCACCACCTCCAGGCCCCTCATAACACAATGCTTGGCTAAGGGGAGGATCTGGTCTTGGGACTGGGACAGAGATGTGTGGCCCTACTGGGGAATTTTGTGTCCCCAGACCTAAGTGGATTGGTGCACCTTTACTTCCTATTCTTCCAATGTCCAGATGAGCCTGACTCACACAGGGACCCAGAGCTTTGGCCAGCCCCTGGGATGCTCAACAGTCAGAGGTCTCCAGTTTGACCTCAAGACCCAGTTCTGACCAGAGTCCTCTGAGAACTCCTGGTGCTGAAAGTTGCTAAGGCCACCATAAGCCAAGAACAGGGGTTCCTGGTATCCTCAACCCCAGGCCCTGGAAAAAGTGCAAGAGAATGTTGGTTCCAGCTTGGTCTGTGCAACAATACATCAGCTATCCCTAGAGTACTGGTTTCTCCCTGGGCCAAGGGACTGGGGGACCACAGAGCAGCCCCTAGGCCAGCCATATGCAGCACAAACCAGCTGTGTGGTGAGAAGACAGGAGGAGAGATGGATGGATGGGGAAGGAATGGGAAGAGAAGGAAGGTAAGTAGAAAAAGGCACTGCACTGCACAAAGGTCCGACCCCAATCTTTCCACTCAGCAAACCTGCTGGTTGACAGCAGAAACCAGGGACTCTGGACTTAGGGCAGCTGCACACACATAGTCTCCTCCTCTTGTGATCCCATCCCGGGGCCTGGGGATCTTGGGGGGAAAAGGAAGGGACTCAGAAGGGTAAGTCAGGCAGAGGAAGAACAAGGGAACCATAGTACAGGAGTGTGTCCTAGTCAGGTGGTTGTGCAACACAGTCTGTGGTTCCCCACATGCCCCACTGGGATGCCAGGCACATTGAATACCGACTGCCCCTGACCAGGGCCAAAGAACAGCAGGCAGGGATCCTCCTTGATCATCACAAGAGGGCCATACAGACATCCACACAGACCCTGGAGCACCGACACCTCAGAGAAGCACTGTGCCTGCCCTTGTGCTCCACACCCCTCATGCTGCTCAGCTCCAGCAGGGCGCCACACATTAAGAACAACCCACTTATAGTCCACAGGGAGACCCCGTCTGGAGGGGTTGTGCTGGGCCTGGGTTCTTCCCCCCTGCCTTTCAATGACCCTGGGCCTCAGCTTGCCACACCTGGACACAAAATAAAAATCACACCCCACAGGCTCAGGGAATCAGGGCGGTGAACATACCCAGTAATGTGGCCGCACTATGTGCAAATGGGGCCAAGAGGGACTACTGTCCTTGTCCCCAGCCTGGAAATGACACCCATCAGGACATGGTTAGTCCACCCTCCCTGGGGAGACCATGTCCATCTCTGAGGAACTGCATTCCCCTCCCAGGTCAGAACAGCAGAGACCCTGCATGCACTGGAGAAGGAAATGGGACAAATGTCCATCACCAGGGCTTTGGAAGTGAGCCCAGGGGCCAAGCATGAAATTCAGCCTCCTTCCTGAAGCTGTCCCGCACCAGGGATTGGGCTTTGGGATGTGATCAGTGCCTGGGGTCAGGGCACAAGGCCTTTGGGTTTGTGGCCATTGAGGTTCTGTGTGTCTGGGGTGTGACAGCTGCTGCCAGGTAGCTGGTTAGAACAGCCTGAAAGGACGAAGATGCCTAAGGGACACAGGAGTCAAGGACAACTGTCCTGCCCTTCCTCCTGACTGGCTCCCACAGAAGACATTCTGGAGTGGAGTTAGCTGTGGAATAAGCACCTGTGCTTCCTGGGGTGGGAGAAGAAAATGCTGCTGACAAGTTGTCTACTGATTTTAGATAAGGGCCTCCGGAGATGACCCCAGAGAATTGCTTTAAACCAAGGAAAACTGCACAGCCCCTCTTCTAGGAGACCTAGACTTACCTTTGCTTGTTATAACCACATTGTAAACTAGGCATAGTTGTACACACCTGTGATTCCAACATTCTAGGAAGCTGAAAGATCAAAAGTTCAAGCCCAGACTGAACAGCTTAGCGACTCAGATCCTTTCCCAAAACACACAATAAAAGGAGTGGATGGGGCTGAGGATATAGCACAGTGCAAAGATCCTAGGTTTAATCCACCATACTGAACAAAAAAAGCCATGCACACATGATGAGAAATTCTCCACCCTGAAGTGTTCTCATCCACCATGTCTGACCACACGGTGTATAAAAGAGCATGATCTGCATTGTGATCTCACAGGATAGGATGTGCCGGCCTCTCCAGGAGAGGGACAGTCTTCCCAATATGAACATCGTAATTCTCTCCCAGGAAACCCAGCTGCCCTGTCCTGGGGAGACACTTTGGCAGTTAACTCAGAATATTCCTTACCTGCTGCTGATCACGAACTTTCTTCCAATGGGATCACATCAAATTGGAAAACTTTTGCACAGCAAAAGAATCCACCAACAGAGGGATGAGATAACTCACAGAATGGCAAAATATTTTTACCAGCTACTCCTCAAAGGACTGACCTCTAGAATATAGAAAGAACTCAAAAAAATGTCACCCCCATATATAAAGACCTAATAACAAATAGGCATCTGAAATAAACAGACATTTCTCAGATGAAGAAATACAAACAGTAAATAAATAGGGCCAGGGATTTAGCTCAGTAGTGCCTGCCTTGAAAGCACAAGGTCCTGATTTTGATCCCTGGTACCCAAATAAAACCCCAAACCCCCCCCAAAAAACAGTAAAAAAAAAAATGAAAAAAAGTTCAACATCACCAGTTGTTCAAGAAATGCAAACTAAAACAACACTGAGATTGCATCTCACTGCAGAAAGAATGGCTATCAAGAAATTAACCAGTAACAAAAGGTGGTGAGGATGTGGGGAAAAAGGAACCCCTCTCCACTGTTCCACTGGAGTGTAAGCTGATACAACTTCTATGGAAATCAGTATAGAGATTCTTCAAAAAACTCAAATTAGAGGTTCCCTTTGACCCAGCTGTTCTCCTTCTAGGTTTCTTCCCAAAAGAGTTAAAAGCACCATACCACAGTGATGTATGATACCTGTGTTTATACCAGCACAATTTATAATAGCTAAATCTTGTAAACAGTCCAGATGCTCATCAAAAGATGAATGGATAAAGAAAATGTAGTATGATACACAATGGAGTATTACCCAAGGATAAAACTGAGTCATTTTTAGGTAAATTGATGCACCTGGAGACTCTATCTTAAGTGAAATAAGTCAGATACACAAGTTTAAATATAGCATTGTTTCTCTTGTATAAGAGACTCAAAGGGTAAATAAGGAGCTTAATGGAGGATAGATATTGGGAAGTAGGAAGAACACATTCAAATGGGGAAGGAAACAAGGGAGGGTGGAAGTGGAAGGAAGGGAAATGGAAAAAAAGAATTGAAGTAAAAAAATGAAAACAAACTTTTGTAAATAAGGAGGCAAAGAAAGGTTGAAGGAAGGGGAGGTGAATGGGAAAAAAAAGAATTAAGATGTGTTATATACAGGTAAGGTTCTCTATGATGAATATGATCATGAGTTATGATATGTACTAATTTTTAAAAATTTAAAAAAAAAAACAGCTGAACGACAACAAATTACCTGTAGAATTGGTATCACATTTCACTTCTAAAATTCAGATTTTAGCTCATAAATCTAACCTGAGAAGGACTTAGGAGTATACAATTTTTATAAACACAAAAAATTTGTATTCAAGTACTATTATAGTGATGACATCCCTTTTATTCCTGTGTATAATCTGGGCTTCTGATTCTGTTAAAACTTAAATTTACTGTGTCAAAAGGCTGGAATCCAGGTTTAATTTCCTATTTATCTCAGTATTTTAACACTTTATATGAAAGACAACATTTGTAATCCAAAAGTAACTATCATCTCCAAGATAGAAAACACGGGTTATTTCTGTTTCTTATACATATATCCATATGCACACGGCCACAACCCACCTTCAAGTCTTGGTGTTATAGGTAGGATCTCCCTCCAGCATTTAATAATGTTAAATATGTAAACTTCTGTTCACCAATAAGAGGAAGTGAACATTTCATCTTGAAGTTTTATGGTCAGTTTATTAAGTTCAATGGTGAAAGTTATCAGAAGAATATTCTCCTGAGAGTTATTTTTTCTTAGAAAAAAAAAAAAGGAAAATTAAAAGCCTTTCAGCACAGCCACAGATGCTGTGGCTGTGGAGCTCTCCAGAGATGGTGCATCAGTCCTCTGAGTCACTCCCTGGGCCAGCAGGGTTGTAGTCTGGGTCGTCCTCAACATCCTCCAGCTCCAAGTCATCCAGTTCCTGGAACAAAGACTCATCTACTTCCACATTATTTCCAGCTGTGCGAAGAAGAACATATTTCATGTTCAGTTTTATACCAAGGAATGAAAAGACATAACTCATTGGCAATACCAAACAGAAGCTTCTGAACATGCATATCAGGTGCAAATGACGAAATCCCAAATCACAAATGCAAATCATCTCTATTTTGGTCAGCAGAGATTCTGAGATGTTAAGAGCAACTTCATTCTTCCATTTCAGTCTAAGATTCTGGTTATTTAAAAAAAAGCCACTGGAATTATTACTTATAATGTTGCAAATTGTATGCTGAATACAATGATGTTGATACATTGCTTTGGTTATGCAGTTGATATCACTAGTTCTTCTACCAGCAGTTATCACTTCTAATAGTTGCAGACATGTACAACATTAAAGTTTGTTATTCAACTGAGATCCTTAAGTTCACCTCTACTCTCTCCCAGTTCTCCTTGTAACCACTAGTGTGACTTTCCAAGATTCTAGATACCTAATCCCTATAATGAGCAACAGCCAAGCTCTACATTAAACTCCTTCAGACTTTACTTCATCTGACATAGATCAAAGCAGGAGATTATAGCATTCTTGATCACCAAAAATAGCTATCTTCCTTTCTTCTCAGACTTGAGTTTATTGAAATTCAATTAAGTGAAAATATAAAGAGAATGAGTCTTACTTGGTGCCTATGAGAAGTAATAAAAATACAATATACTAAGTCCAGGTCAAAGAATAACTTAGTCTTGGATTGGTAGTGAATGATCCACAAAGCAGATGAAGTCTAAAATGCCTTGGTGATAAATTTGAACCCACCAAGAAAAAAAAAGGAGCTGGATGAAGCAATTCTAGATAGAAGTACATGCAATGGCAGAGAAAAAAGAGAAGACCTTGACAATTTCTAACTGGAAGAAAGATTTGAAGAAAACTACCTAAGGATAGTTTTAATAGGTAAGGACTAGAATGTAGGTCAACCTTCTTCTATAAGTAGTGGAAATCCAAGTACTATAAAAGATTAAATATGGGTTTAGAAATAATACATCACAGACAACAATTATAACATACTATAGATAAGGGCATTAAAAGGAGGAAGAGATACAGGGAAATAATTTATCACAAAAGTCCAAGTAAAAATAATAAATCCTTCAGATAAGAAGAAACTGCTGAGAAGATATTTCAGAGGCAGAATCAACAAATATCTTCTAGTAACTTACTTGCAATGAAGACATGCTTGATCCACTAGAGAGGGAATTGAGTCAAGAATGAGTGAAGAGACTAAAACTGGTAAAGCACAAGAAACAATAAATGAAAACTTTTTAAGATTAGAATTTAACAAAATAGAAGAGGACATCTTGCTGGGGTTTTTTTTTTACTTTTTTGTTGTATAAAAATCTTGGTAAAAGTGCTACAGAGAATATAATTAGGCTAGGAGTGTTAACTCAGTGATAGAGCACTTGCCTAGCATACATGAGGGTTTGATCCCCAGCACCAATTAAAAAAAAAAAGGAAGAAGAAAAGAAGGAAAAAGAAGAAGAAGAAAGAAAAGTTGAGTGCCAGTAAAGGGCCCGGCCACCTTACTTTTAAGAATGGGGGATTTTAGTGGGGGCCGGGGATTTAGTTCAGTGGTTCCACCGCTTGCCCCGCAAACACAAGGACCCAAGTTTGATCCCCGGAACCAAAAAAAGCAACTGACGTTGCTTCTTAACCTTCTCTACCAGATAATCCAGACAAGGCTGAAAGACCAGAAGCTAGAGGATCTCCAAAAGGCAAAGTGGACACAACAATGGCAAATGAAATGCAGAGCTCTCAGGCATCATCAGTGGTGTGATCAAGTATGGAGTCCCTTCCAAAACACACATGGGCTCCATGAAGAAAAAACCAATCTATACTGCTCAGAGTGAGATCAAAGTGAGAATACTCTGAATAAAATAAGAGCAGTAATTTTATTTAATGTAAATTTTTTCTCTCCAAGGATGTTTACAAAATATAGTTTGAGGCTGGGCATGGTGGCACACACCTGTAATCCCAGCACTCAGGAGGTGGAAGCAGGAGGATTGCTGTGAGTTCCAGGCCAGCCTGGTCTACATAGTGAGTTCAAAGCCAGCCTAAACTACATAGTGAGATCCTGTCTCAAAAAAACCCCCAAAATTACCAATGATTACAATGAATAATTGATAATGTGGAAAAAAAACCCAAAACTCAAACAAACAAAAAATTCAGTTTGAAGTATAAATTCTAATAGTTGATCAATTATGTCTGCATTAGCCTCTAAAACTAAAGCTAGCACATTATGTACACATGCAATTCTCATATTATCTTACCATCCTCCAAGAACTGGATATCAGATGTGTCAAGATTATGATCGGTTTCAAACAGCTGTTTGCCTAAAAAGAAATAAGCACGTTTAGTTCAAATGGCACAGTATCCCTAAAACCATTTAAAATGTAGTCACTCAAAAAAACACCCTGGAAATCTATTTTCATGTGAATTTCAATTAATTTAACAACTTGTTCCTTCACTAGGAGGCATGTAAAATGTATTTACAGTAAAATGAAACAAGTGAAAAACCTAGTATGCCTTAGGGTGCTAGAAAAAATAGTGAGTTTCACTCCCCACTTCTAAGGCCTGTGATCCTAAATATCTTTCTATTCTAGGATCTACTGATTGCAATATATTTAACAAAGATAAGCTATAAAATTAATTATAAATTATGTGTGTAGATGTTTTCTCTTTTTGTCAGATACTAAGTATATTCTTTTCTCACAGAAAGCTGTCTAAACGATCCTCTTGCTACAGAAAGACAGGGCTTGAGGGGCATGGTAATAATTACAGGGTGAGGGATGTCATACCACTTAATTTATTTTTTCCTGCTTGTTCTTCTTCTTTTATCCGTTTCTTTTTAAGTTCCAAGAGTTCTGCATCAAACTTGGCTTTCCAACATAAGAAATTCTCAATTGTAACAGGGGTGCCGTGAAATATTTGCTAGGAAAAAAAAGACATGAGTTATTAGATTAATAAGATAGCAGTTTAACAAGTAAAGTAGAAGTATATCTTCTAGACAAACAGAACCACTTTAATATGAGAAAGACAAAAATCACTATTTGAAACTCTGAAATATTTAATCTGATTTCTGTCCACACCGCCTCTTCTCTCCAGTTTTGACAACTGACTCTAGCAAAGCCTGTTACTACTCTTATCCAAAGAAACAAATGTGCCATGTATTTACTTTACTCACCATGGGTGCTTACTATTAAGAAGAAAGTTGTTGCCATTATTAATGTGTTTAGAACATGCATCAATTTATAACATTAAATCGTTTTTCAATTCATTTTAGAATTTGAGGTTTTCTATACATTAACTACTAGGATCACTGTACAAGGGACTTTATAAATTTAAACTTGGCACCACAGGATAAGTAATTTATATTTCTTGATCTTACTTGCAAGAGTTTTACTATACTACCCTGATTATCACTCAGTACTTGTACTATCCCACCACATGAGACTTTTAAAATTTTCTATAGTAAAACTTTACTAAAATCTTTTATTTACTGTGATTCCAAAAGTTTAATGAAAATGGCCCCAAGGAAAAAAAAAAAGAAAATCCAACTTCCAATTAACCACCAAACAGATTTAAAGAATGAAAGAAAACAAAGCTTTTAAATATACCTTCTCGGGCCGGGGATTTAGCTCAGTGGTTCTGCCACCTGCCTCACAGGCACAAGGTCCCGAGTTCTATCCCCGGTACCAAAAATAAATAAATAAATAAATAAATAAATAAATAAATAAATAAATAAACCTTCTCTGCTTCTTCTGCTTCTTTTTCTTTTAGTTTCTTTTCTTCCTCTCTTCTCGTTTTTATCTGATCTACTATTTCATTTAATTTTTCTTGCACTGCTGTCACTAGAGTAAAGATCATGACCACACCAAGATTTTCCTCAGCCTATATAACAAGAAAGGTGGAGAAAAACATACTTCTCAGAAAAACTAATAAATAAAAAAATGTGTTACTATAAGTGCCGTACAATGTTCATTTGACCATTTAAGAAGTATTTTATTTTAAGGCATTTAATTTGAAATACCTAATATAAAGCAAATATTCCAGTTTGGTACATTCTGTTTAATAATCATATATATAGAATTCAGAGAACCATTTCCTGTAGTAATGAATAACAACATTTCTCTAGCTCCTCTTCAGTATATTAGTTCTTTTTGAGAATTAAAAAGTTTTGACAATAAATTGTATTTGGAAGCCAAAATGATTTTCTCATCTATTATAGTGATAAAGAATGTGGGTATTTTACTTACCTTTACTACATTTTTTGTTTAGATCTGAAATGTTTAAAGCCAGATGTAAATGCATCACCTTATAAAAGGGATATAACTCAAAGACTAGTAGAAGTTGTTGAAGACAGAATAGACAGAAACGTTTTTTGTTTTGTTTTGTTTTCTTTTGTTTTTGGTACTGGGGATTGAACTCAGGTCCTTGCACTTGCAAGGCAGGCAGTGGAACCACTGAGCTAAATCCCCAACCCACAAAAATGTTTTTTTAAAACAAACCAGCCACAATCTCAGTCCAGAAGCAGGATTACTAAGCACTTCTCTGTGAGGCTGACTTCCACAATAAACATCCTGAATGCATATGTCAGCTCCAGGCCTTCTGTAAGGACTGGTTTTCAGACCAGCTCCTGAAATTCTGCTAAATGGGGCTTCTTTCTGATATACATATGCTACTAATCACCCCCAATTCCTGACTAAACAAAACTCTCTTGAGCACCAGACCTGTATAACGACCCACTGCATGGAGACTTGATGTCACTGTTATAATTTTATCTAGAGGTCCCCCAAAGCCTTGTGCACTCTGACTTCTTGTTAGGGGTGGGACCTGGGGGACCAAGGGAGGCAGTCACTAAGGTAATGACTCTGAGGGGCATCTCGCCCTCAGGCTCCTCTCTTCTCTGCTTCCTGGTCGCCATGACGTGAGCAGCTTTCCTCCACCATGCCTCTTAATTTTTTGTTTGTTTGAGACAGGGTCTTACTATGTAGTTCACATTGGCCACAAATTCATGGGGATCCTCCTGCCTCATCCTCCCAAGTACTGGACTCACAGGCATGTGCCACCACACCCAGCAAATGCTTCCCTTCTAATGAGGATCAAGTCCATGTTTTTTAAACAGTTTAGGAAAATGTGAAGAAGAAAATAATCACTTTAATTCTATCATTTACCACCACCAACTTCAAATTTTTTTTTTGGTACCAGCGATCGAACTCTGGACCTTGTGCTTGTGAGACAGGCAGTGGAACCACTGAGCTAAATCTCCGATCACCAACTTCAAATTTTAATTCAATTAATTTTGTGTAACTGGGCATTCTTGGAAGAAATAAAATCAATCTCTCTCTTGTTCCTTTAAGAAGTTTATTTCTCTACTTTCTTCTATTCGCTGATTGCCTGGCAAACTTTCCTGAGGTCTCAGCTTCCTCTTTGGAAGCTTCTCCAGTGCTTCCTGTCAATGTCTATCCATATAGTCCTGAACTTTACTATCACAGCATTTTTTTTTAATCTGGGGATACTGATTTCCAGTTTGCCAGTTCACATTCCCCAGTGCAGTATAAAATCTACAAGACCAAGGACGGTGTCATGAAGTCTACTGCTCAACACAGTTCATTAATACATTCCACTAAGACATCTGTTACATAAGCTAACTATTCCAACAGAAAAGCAAAAATAATAACTCCCATGGAAACTGGACAATTCAGAAGTCATACTAATTTTGTATCACAAGGGTATTTGAAGAAATGAAAATTCTAACTACCATTTTCAATTTATTATTATATTTCTAAGTGAAAATATGTAATGTTAGCCAGTGTGCCAAAATTAGCTGTGCCAAATAAACAGACAATTCAGTGACTATGGTGAGATCATAAACTGGCATAATCATTTTGAAGGCCAATTTGGGAAGATGTTTGAAATTGCTAGGCATGCACTTTTATTTAGCAATCCTACTTCTAGAAAATGCCAGATTAGTAGTTATCAGTGATTCATTCTTTTCCTTTATTCAAAATTTGAGTATTTCTCATGTGCCAAGCTCTAGAGACAAAAAGGAGGACCTGCTCTAAGGATTTACAAATCATGATATATAAACAAGAATGTTGAAAGAATTATATATTAAATGAAGCAAAAGTGAGAAATAATTCCAAGTTGTTCTTTAAAAGATACAGAACCATGTATGTAGTTATCAAAAACAATGATTCACATGTTTATGCACATTGTTATATAAAAGAGTGTTATAAAACATTAGATAAAGATCTAACTTGGGATGGAAGGAATCTATGTATATAATAAATATAGGGAAATAAATCTGGCATCTTACCAAATAATATATACTTATACACACTTGGTGGGATTAAGAGTGATCTTTATTTTCTTCTTCATGACTTCCTATATTTTCTTTCTTATAATATGAATTATTTTGATAACTGAAAGATAATCCTGCTTTTGGAGAAAAAGTATAAACATCTCCTCAATATATCTTGATCCCAGGCAATTGTTAAAAGAGATTTAAAATGTCTTTTTGAAGCCATGCTTGGTGGTGTACACCTATAATCTCAGGACTGTGGGATGCTGAGGCAGGAGGATAACAAATTTCAACCCAGACTGGGATACTTAGTGATACCCTGTCTCAAAATTAAAAAGTAAATAAATAAAAACTAAGAAAAGGTTGGGTATATAGCTCAGTGAGAAGACCCTGGGTTCAATTTATAGTATAGTCAAAAAGAAAATTGTCTTTTTGAAAAGAGATTGAGTATACATGAAATAATAAATACACATGGAAAAATTCACTCAGCCTGAATAATCAACATTAAGTGTGTGACTGACTATAGTGTAACTACCTCAGGTTATCTGCAATGTTTTCAAATGAAACATGTTAAGCAAAGTATAATTTCATGCTGGATAACAGAGTGAACAGGGTCCAGGATCAGCAGAAACTCATGCCTGACAGACCTTCAAGCCTTTCTCTAACAACTCCAAGTTCTTGTGTTACAAAATCAACATTCGGACCTGTCAATCCTAAGAATGTGCAAGTTGCATCTAAGGTAGGGACATGTTTTCTGACTATTCTTAAAAACAAATTACTAGGACTGCTGATTTTAAGATAGTGGAATAAGGGCTTCATTTTTCTTCTGTTATGGCTAATATCTAGATGTTCCCCCAAAGCCTCATGAACTGATAGGTAGAGCTTTGGGGAATAACTGGATTATGGGTGTGTGGTACAGAATTAGTCCATTGCTTGGTTTAACATCATTCTGGGTGTGGACCATGGATTTATGGAAGAAGGAAGACCCACAGTCGCTGCAAGTGACACCAATCAAAAGGCTTGTAGCCTGGATGAAATAAAAAGGGAAGGAAGGAAGGAAAGAAGATATCTCACTACTTCTTGCCTGCCACACCACCCTGCTCCCCTGCCTTAGAACCAGACAACTATGTACTGAAACCTCTACAAACTATGAGCTAAAATAAACCTCTCTTTTAACTTGTGGGTATTGGGTATTTTGTCCCAGCAATGAAAATCTAAGAAACCTCCCTACTCTCTACTCTTAAATTTTCAAAATAAACTCTACCCAAGGACAAGTGAACTACCTACTACACACACTGTGGTTAGCCCACCCCATAACAAACCTAAGTGCAGAAAAGAATTTCCCAGTATCCATTTTTAATTCTGCACAGCTCTCACCTCTTAGAGGGGTCATGGCCATGATTGGTATTTACAAGAGATGGAGAAAAAAACCAAACAAAATAGTCACAGTCTTATGTAGGTAACTAGCCAGTATAAAGAGAAAGAGAGTGGCAGTTTTAATTTTTTTAAAGTTAGAATTTTTAGCTACACCATGGGACTAGATACTTGAAGAACTAAATCAGAACGGTGCTTACAACTTAAAAGTAATTGTTAGGCTTTTTTACCGCTTAAAGAGTGAACAGACTGAGTTTCAAACAGGAGCACTGGGACACCTTCCATTATTCAACACTGAAATGGCTATGGCAAATAAAAAGATCCTCTGTGATTATGCATCATGAATTCTGCTTGCCAATGTACTATTTACGCACATTTAATAGCATTTTCTAATCCTTAAACGTACAAATTTTAAGACCAAAACAATAAAGACATTACAAAACAAAATTGCAATTCCCTTACCTGTAATGCTAATAATTTTAAAATGTCTATGACATCATTATCTTCTAGGTTTTCCTGGGAAAATAGTTCATAAAGAGGAGCTTCATCTGGGTATTTTTCACTGTATGTAAACTTGAGGGTAGTCTGGACAGCTAAGACAAAAGAGTTTGATGTGAGCACATTCAAAGTATAGAGATCAGTATTTTTGTTGACTCAGTAATTTACAATCTGTTAATGAAAAGTAGCCCAATAGATTTTCCTACAAAGAAAAATGAAGGTTACTAAGAGACCAGGTAAATAACCACTGATATAAACAACACACACCACAGAGTAGTAAATGAAACAAATCAAGGGAATACAAAAAAAAATCACTTCTTACACACAAAACACATTTATCACCTATCGGCCTTTTACTATACTTGGTTTCTGCAGAGGATGGACAAAAGCTATTTTTTTAAAAAAAAAAATCCTTCCTAAGATCAACAAAAAGCAACGGTTATAAGACATTGAAAAAGTACTACAGACTCCATGAAAACCTACTTCAAGCTGCAGACAATATGGCTGTATTCCTGGAACCTGTATTTACATTTGCTAGCAGGACATTGCTAACTGGTTGTGGGGGTAACAGTTTTGAACTGGGCAGTTTGAGATGTTACCTGTCAATTTACAGATACAGCATTTGTATAGAGCACATTTTTATGAGCACATTAGTGCCAGGAATCTCTCTGCAGCTCAGCCCTGTGAGTGCTCTATTCACCATACAGCCAGAAACTAAGCAACAATGCTAAACATTTCCTGTGAAAACTTCATTATTCATAATGCTCTTTTGCCTAGTCATCTTTATTGTAACACACAATTTATTTATTAAAACCTATTGATTTTAATGAAGTAACTCATCTATATTGCTCTTCACGTGACAGGTTAAGAGGTGCCACAAAAGTTGTGGGTTTGATATTATGTTATAAATTTCATACACGATGTCAAGGAAATGTTATGAGTCAACAAATGCAAAAGATTGAGGGTTAAGGGTGAGCAAGGAATACAACATCTTCTGGCATTTTTCTACCTATCTTTATTATATTTCTGATTTTATTACTAACATATGAAGTTTTAATTTTTATTTTTGTCCAGGTTTCCTGAGGAATACTTGACAAAAATTACATATATAGTATACAATGTGAGGTTTTATTATCCACATATATTATGAAATGATTGCCACAGTCAGGCTAATTAATATAACCACCACCTTCCAGTTTTAACTTTTTGTAGGTGCGATGAAAACACTTACAATTACAACTTATTCAGCCTGCATGCCCGAATCTACCTACCCACTGGGCAACATCTTTCCCTTCTTCCTTCTAACCTCAGCTCTAGCATCAAAAGCATCCAAATCATCAGTGAAGAAATTAAAAGGAGAATCAAAAGTATCTGGAGCCAAATGTGAATAGAAGTGTAACATACACAACCTTATGGGTTGTAGCAAAAGCAGTGTTATGGCTTGTATCTAGATGTCCCCCAAAGTCTCATGCAGTCTCAGGTAGGGCTCTTTCAGAAGTGGCTAGATCTAGAGTGTGTGACTGATTCATGGTGCAATGCTAGGATTAAGGGTGGGTGATTACTAAATCAGCTCACTGACTGCTTTGGCACCAACCTAATCCCAGTACTCTGGATACAATAAAAGGGACAGAAAGAAGCTTGTCAGGTCTCTTGCTCCCTTGTTGCTTTGCTACCCTCTGGCCGCCACGAACTGTTTCTCTGCACTGCTCCTCTGCCATGTGCCACACTGCCTTGGAGACAGCCAACTACGGACTGAAACCTCTACAAACTGTCACCCAAGTAAACTTTTCCTCCCTTAACTTGTGAGTGCTGGGTATTTTGTCTCAGCAACAAGAAAAGTGACTAAGACAGACAGTTTTAAGAGAGAAGTTCAAAGGAGTAAATGTTAGCTTTAAAAAATAATGAGCAACCTAACTTTGTATCTCCAGGAAGCAGGGGAAAAAAAAACAACTAAATACAATTCAGCCAAAGAAAGGAAATAATAAAGATCAGAAGAGAAATAATGAAATATAGTACAGGCTAGAAAAATATAGAAAAGACTTATGAAACACAGCTAGAGTAAATTAAAAGGACAGAATACTAAAATAAATGAAAGATGAAACTTTACAATGTACAAGGATAAAGAGATATTGTTCATAAAATATAGTTTCAAATGGGATGAATAAATTCTGGAGATCTATGATATAACATGGTAACTACAGTTAATAATTTTTGTTTGTTTTTCGCAGTGCTAGCTAGGAATAGAAGCTTGCTAGGCAAGCATTTGACCACTGAGCTATACTCACAGGCCAATGTGTCATATTAAAATTGCTAGGAGAGAGGGCCAGGGATGTAGCTCAGTGGTTCCACCACCTGCCTCACAAGCACAAGGTCCCAAGTTCCATCTCTGGTACCAAAAAATGGCTAATTATTGTTAAATGCTATCACTACAAAAAAATTTAAAAGTAGATTTAATAAGTAAAATATTTTATTATTGAAACATTAGTTTTCCCTGGTTTTATAATTTATTTGTTTCATGTTCATTTTTATGAGATTCTGAGAATATTCTTGAACATATAGCTTAAATAACTGCAAACTAAATTTCACCCTGTAGGTACATAAAAATATATTTAACCGTCTGGTATGGTGGTACATGCCTATAATGTCAACACTACAGAGGCTGAGGCACTTTCTACATACTGCCAGATCTGACTTCTAATAGTTTGTTTTGTTAAACAAAGTTTTATCTATGTTCATACTTTTTTCTTCTATTATCTTTATCCTGTTTTAGGATTAGCACAATGTTGATTTCCTAAAATGAGGGGAGAAGTGTTCCTTCTTTCTTCTGCTTTAAATGTCTGATATAATTTATCAGTTAAAATGTATATGAGCCTGTTGTTGTCATATAGGTATGTTTTCAAGCTAGGAATATACTTTCTTTAATAAGTGCTATTCAAATTTTATATTTCCTCCAGAGTCAGTTTCATTAATTTGTCTTCCAAGGTACTTCTTAGAAGTTGTCAAATTTATTTCAAAAAATATTTTTGTAATATGCTTTCTATAACCTTTTAAATTCTGTAAAATCTGTGATAATGTCCTCTAAATTTTGACATTGTAATTTAAAAATGTATAATTGATATTGAGTAATAGGACGAAAAGGTCTAAAGGAGTAGGGGAAGTAGGAGGGGTAGGGGAAAGGAAAGAAGGGAAAAGTAAAATATGAGAAAAGAAAAAAAATGGAAACAAAGTCTTTGCAAATAGGGAAGAGTGTAAGGGGTGGAGGGGGTGAAGGGAGGGCAGGGGAAGGGGAAAAAAATAAGAACCAAGATACATCACGTAAAGGTATAAAATCCCAATGATGACTGTAACTGTATTTTATACCTAACATGTACCAATAAACTTAATGGGGGAAAAAAAAAGAAAATGTTAAAAACAAAAACAAACAAACAAAATAAAACTGAAGGGCTGGGAATTTAGCTCAGTGGTGCTGCCGCCTGCCTCCCAAGTGCAAGGTCCTGAGTTCAATCCCCAGTACCAGAAAAAAAAAAAAGAAAGAAAGAAAAGGTAAAATAAAACTGAAAACACAAAATACATAGGTACATAATTTCAAACAACATGGACATTCATTCAATTTCTTAAATATTAAATACAAGTATATTTCTGTAAATATGCCACCATTCATTGGTTAAGATAGAAACAATAATTATAGTATGTATCTTGTATGTATTTTATTTGTGTCACAATATTTTTCTTAAAACTAAATATCCCATAAGTAGATATCTGTCAAGAACATGAACATGTTTAAATCTCTTGCTTAATGATCTAATGGCTGTCCTGAACATATCTATCAATTTATACTCAGTCCCTACAACACATTGCTCTCTACTTACCAAGATGACAATTTGTTAGATGAAAGAATAATATTTCCATTTTAATTTGTTTTTTTAATTACTGGTGAGACTAATTTTTTATGATAATTTATAATGCTGCTTCTAGAAATTATACATTCATTCCCTTTGCTAGCTTTTCTACTAGTTAGTTAATTTGGGGGAGACAGTATGATATAGGACTCATTTCAAACAAATTTAAAAAGTATTCTCAATCAGGAATGATGAACTATACAGAACTATTATTACAAAGCTATTATTAGTTCCTAATAAAGCCAATGCTCCGAATATGGTAAGGATCTCCAGATATTTTTTAATTTTATTATTCATTTCAGTGTAATCTTAATGGAAATATTATTCTGGATTTTTGTCAATGAGTACCGCCATATCATCCTGGCACACATCATGGCATCAGGAGGAGGCTAAATGATGCCACCACCTTTTTCATAAAGTTCCAAACTAAAGAAGAACAGTCAGTACGATATTTATTTTGTATTTTAATGTCATCAAAACATTTCGGTTTCCTATCTATAAAAGTATATTCATTATCAATTTGATAATAAATAACTATATCCAACATCCTTTCAAATTTCAGATTTCAAAATATCTCAATGGTAACCTTATTTTCAATTGTACTAAACAGATATTCAATTTTGTTGATTGCTCCTGGCAGAATTTTGGTTTACCAATCTAACAAGAAAAAATCTGCAGATGAAATAATTTTCATCAATTACTATACTAACAACTGGACTAAAGGCAGAAATGAACTAAAGACAACATCCCCTGGATTATCCATCAAATTTGCTAATTTTTAAAACTTTAACTTATTGGGTTTTTTTTATTGCTAGTTTATGAGAGAAAAAAACATGCAGATATTTGTATCCAGTACCATCTATAACAGCAAATTATAAGCAATCTTAATGAAAAACAGCCATGGAATAGTAATACTTAATGGAATTCCACACAACTGAAAAATATTTGCATGCAAAGTCTTGTTTTGGACAAAAGCCTCCTTCCTTCTCTGCTGTACTGTTAATGTTTCTGTTTCACTTTTAAAAACCAACCATACTGCACCAGAGCTCTGGCTTCCCATTTCTTCAGGAGTCATGTTGGCACAGTAAATATAGAATACAAACACATATCATTCATGCTGTATTCTTAACAGCACCTCAGAACCTCCACACCTGCCATGTCCAGTACAACTCCAGCTGTGGAATGAATGAAACTTGTGAGAAAGCAGCTCAGAAAAACCCCAAGTATATTCTCTGAGACTTACTTTCATCATTTTCTCCAGCCTCAGATGTCACAGTGATGGTGAAGCTGGGTGGATTTTCTGATAATACTATAAGAAAACAAACAGAGATGTTATTAAGCTGGTCTCTAAAGCAGATGTTCATTACTACTCGGTTCTAGAAATTGATTCATAGCCCGTGTTTTCATTTCCACAAATACAGACTGAACAAAATACTGAAATGATAAAACCTAACCAATTTCCTATTTAAAGTGAGTTTTCCTTAATCTGGAAATACCTATAGAAGATAACTCTCCTGACACTGTAAAAATCAATTAAAATATAAAGTAGTTTACCATTTATTTATTTATTTTTTGGTACTGAGGATTAAACTCAGGACCTTGTGCTTGCAAGGCAGGCACGGTGCTACTGAGCTAAATCCCTGGCCCTTTACTGTTTATTTTGAAACCTCTATCTATACACAAAGTTTTCTTTAAAAAAACAAAAAATAGCACCAGACTGACAAAGTTTGGCAATTCTCAATGGATAGCACTCAGGGATATGCATGTTATCACTGGCTTTTATACTTGCATATCTTCTTGATATTTTCTACACTGTAAGCGGAGCCAAACTTAATCTTTTCACAAATACTGAGCTGCTACCAACTTTCATAAAACTATAAAAGGAATTAACTATGACCCTAAACATCAAATCACTTACAATTCAATAAGCAAGACATGTAAGCCAACATCTACATAAAAAAGAAATCTTTATAAATCACTTTACAGCTGATGTCTATCTAAACACCTACTGGCCCACAAGAGCACAGTATTATAAAAATGCTATGAGAGCTCCAGGCCAGTACCCAGCAGAACCTTGTATCTCAATAAATACTGGCTTAATGAAAGAAGGGTTGAACTAATGGAAGGAGGGAAAAATAGTAACAAAGGAAATTGTATCCAAAACCATGTGGAAAGGAAGCTTCAAACTGCAGGTATGGTTGCCAAGCCTGTGCAAAAAGCCTATGCCTTGCTCCATACCTGAAAAGCACTGGCCGCAACTCCAGAGTTTCTGAAATGAAAGACCACAGGATCACTCATGTAACCATAGAAACTATTTGGTTCTACTACCCAGGATCTTCCTGAAGCCACCATAAATATATAATACCAATAATATTTTTCAGACAGATGCCTTTATTTTATGTAATTGAAATTTAAGGTCTTGAAACGATGAATATCTGCGATTACTAGAAAGGTCTCTGGCCACAAATATGAATGACTCATTGCACTCATGTTGTACTTGGTCCACTTCATGTAAAAAGGCCAGTGAAAGCTCATTCTAATAAAGCTTACATAATGACTAGTCACATTTGTTTATTAATAAATGTGTACAAAATACACTTAATGAATTTCATTCTTTCCTTTCATGACCTACTTTAGCATTCACATTAAATGTAATACTACAACTACAGAAATCAGAGTTCAACCTAATGACATTCCTACTTGTTCCATTTTCTATAACTCCCTAAGGCTGTAAGTCAAGGGTAACCTATACCCAGAGTTATGGTTTATATCTAGATGTCGCCCTAAAGCCTCACACACTCACAGGCATGGCCTGTGGAAGGTGAATGGATAATGGGGGCAATATACTCATTGATGGACCAGTCTATTGATGAACTTAAGAGTTGAAGGTGCTGTCAGGAGGTGGGGCTTGGTTAGAAGAGGTAGATCTTTGGGAGTATGGCCTAAAAGGGTATATTTCCCTCACAGGCTCCTCCCTTCCCACTCTCTGCTTTCTGTTCGCCATGAGGTGAGCAGATTTCCTCTGCCCAGACCCTTCCACCATGCAAAGACTGAAACTTCTAAAGCAAGAGTCAAAATAAACCTCTTCTCCTTTAATTTGTAGTTAGGTATTGAGTTCCAGCAACAAGAGGAAATCTGATTGCACCACTGTGAATATGTAGAATAGGTAAATTACGGAGACATAAAATGGGTTACAAGAAAGTAACCAAGACACCCATTAATAATAGCTAACATTTCCTAAACATCACTGTGCCTGTGCTTACATCTGCATAAAAATCCTTTAATTCTAACACCAAGGCCGTGAGTTTATACTATTATTATATTTTGTTGAATTTAAGATGTCATCAAGTATGAGTTATACTCCTTATATAACAGTAAGAAAAAGGCTGCCAATTAAACTATGGCATGTAATTGATAAACTCATAATTAAGTGATATTAAAATGGGAAGGGAGAAGCCTATGGGGGGAGATATACTGCAGCTGGCCCTGCATGCTAATGAGATACACAAATGACCTTAGATTTTCACAAAGAACCAGAGAGCTCACATTAAAATAAGTTCCTTTGGTTGTTAGGGAGTATCTGACCTTGCAAAAAGTATGTCTGCTTTTACAAGATGACTTCTGCTCTAAGATACAGTACAATTATAACTGTTAAATGCTAATGGCTGCTACTTAAAAAACAGACTTAGCAAATAGCAGACACAGCAAATAACAGATTACCTACCCCTCTTGGTAATGTAGATAGAACTAGTGAATTTGGTTTTGGATTTACCTGATATCAACCAATTTATTCCAACAAAACTCCCCACAGCCAAAGATTCTGACACAGAAATGGAAATAACCAAATTCTATCACCTTAGCAGGACCTTGTCAAGTGAAGAACTACTGAAGAATGTAGTATCAGGTAAGTCCACTTATATTTTGGAAGATTAGTTGTTAGGAGGGATGGCTCAATGTGTAATCAAGCTACAGAACAGGCAAAAAGAAGAAATTGTATTACAATTTTTTATAATTCATAACAAATGCAACACTGGACCAAAAGGTCTTTGCAAATAGAAAAGTGACTAGTTCTGAAGTTAGGCTAGGTCTGTATGGGTAAGTCTATGGGCTAGAACTGTGCTTCTTCAACACCCACATAAGGTCTCAAATGCTTAACAAATGTTTCTTTCTTAAGTTCTAAATCATCATGGGGGAAAGGAATATATACTTCCTTTATCAATAGCATCACACATTTGCCAAGTCTAGTATTAAATGTATTTTGAAACAAAGTGAGAAAACTACAAATTAGTGTTCCTTGGCAAATTAAAACAACCAAGCTCTTTCTTAAACCTGCCACAAAAAAAGTATGAAATCATAAATACAAAAGAAGTCTACAAAACAGCAAACCTTGCAAATCCTCAAAACTTCAAGATCAAACAGAGAAACATTTTATCTCCAAGTTCTCGGCCTTTTCCCTAATAGGATTCATAAAGAAAGGTTACAGTAAAGCGAAGTTCCCTAACTAAATCCTAAATAAATAAATTTATTTATTGTAAAGTTTGTAGGGATGATGACAGAAATTAGATAAGTTCAATTGATAATTATAGAATACCCGACTGCACCTAAAGACATAAAATTGTTTATTACCCTGGCTCTGAATTCTCAAGTACTTGTACATCTGACAAAAATTTCACATACTGCATTATAATAGGGCTGTCAGGTCTAGTACAATCTGAAAATACTCAAAATGTGTCAAGATTTAAAATTATCAATTTTATAAATGTTCATAAACACAAGTATTTAATAATACCTTAGGAAATGAAAAGAACAGCACAATCTAGGTTTTCTTGCCTCTGTCTGCAGTGTTCACGCCTATTTTCAAAGTACTGGAAGTGACCAAACATTATGATTAAGAATACATCCAACAACTGACCATAGTATTCTATTTTCATTAGACACTGACGTAGAAGCAAGGATAGAGAAGAGAACCAGACTCCACACACACTCCCTCAGATAATGACACTCGAAACCCCTCTTTACTCATCCCCTTAACATCCTCACAGCACAGCTATATTGCTGGTGAAAGAACATGAACAGACTGGAGCTATGCAGGTAGGCCAGCAGTATCTGCCTGTTGCCAATGCAAGACAAAATTTGCTACCATTGTAAATGGCGGTCAGAAGGTGGAGCCAAGAGAAAAAAAAAACTAAGCTGAAGAATGAAAAGGGGAGGGTTAAAGTATCAGACCTTACACTCTGGGTTCTGACAAGAATGATGGACAACACTCATAGGAAGAAACTGGCAATATAAATCTGGCAAACATACAGTCTACGACTCTAGGTTTCGCTCATACTGGCTCTCAAGTCAAGAAAAACTATGTAAGAAATACAGGAGAAAAAGATTTGCAGCAAGGGCAGGCTTTATTTGTGATAAAGACCTGAGAGGGACTGCTAGCTCCAAAGTGCCGGAGCAGCTCTCTTAGAGTAATGGGGCCTCTGGGGTAGCACAGAAAGAGGAAGCTGGAAGCTGACTATTCAGGGGTCAAGTCGCCTATGTTAGTCCCCAGTCACTGGTCCCTTTGGGGTTTGCCTAAAGTTCATTATACTTGAGGAGCTGGGGGCCTCTTGGTCTGGAATGGTCTGTTCTATAAACAGGACTTAATTGGGAGTATTGGTATTTTTATAAGGCTGAAACAATGTGGGGAAGGGTCAGAACTCATGGGAAGATGTCCCTCGGCCTCCTCCTTACAAACTATACTGATACAGTGATCTTGTAGCACTTTGAAAATCAAATGAAGCACAGCTTAACACGAAAACTTCTCTTCCCTAGAAATATATCCCATGAATTCCTCACTAATAATTTACCTCGGCCCAACCTATTACGCAATGTGTCCCTCCTCATGTCAGCTCACTCTGGATCCCAAGTCCTACACGTCTGGAGGCGAAAGAACAGGAAAGAGCTCTGGACTTAACTCTCTGGGACACCCCTGAGCCAGAGCCGACCTCTTTCCCCATCCTGAGCTACCATTACCTCGCTGTAGCAGAAGGGTCTCAGACTACATGATGTCCAACATTCCTTCTAGACTAACAACCTACGGATCGACAAGAAACGGAAATGTGGGCCACATCACTTATTAAGTATTCTGCAGGATGCCAGAATATAAAGAGAAAGAGAAAGAGGGAGAAGCGAAGAGGAAGAAGGGAGGACAAGGAGGAAGAGGAGGAGAAAACGACAAATTTCCAGGGCCTGTGCCACTCCCAAAATTGATTCTGGGTAACTCTTAAGAACAGAACCCAGAAATCCATCCATTATCGTATGAAAAACAGTTTCAATCTTAATAGCGGTGAGAATGTAAAAACAGACACGGTTGCGGCTCTGGAAAAGCGAACCAGCGAACGAGCTGGTGCATGTGGCTGCCGTGGGTTACACAGAACCGGGGTGCTCCCGACCCAGTGCAGGCCTGCCAAGTCTCCAGGGCCCCCAGAGCCGCCGGACCTGGAGATTTCGGGCACTGGCGGGGATGAAGCAGCAACTCCTGGGGCTCGAGAATGGCGGCCTTTCGGCCCCTCTGCCCCAGCCCGTAGGCCGCGGGCTGCGGCCCACTCTGCCTCGAGGCGGCCGCAGGGCTGAGGCCGCAACGTCACCTGTGAAGGAGTCGGGGTAGATAGACTCCAAAGCCTCCAGTTCGTTTCGCTGCTCCTCGCTGTAGTCTGTCATCTTGGCCCTGGCTGCTGCCCATGGAGCACGCCGACGCTCAGGCAGCGAGCCACAGCGGAGTCCCGAGGCCTCCTCCCAGGCCCGGCCTGTTGAGCCACAGCCCCGCGCCCCTCTCGGCCGATCGCTAGTTCTGCGTTCGACTCTTTCAGCCTGGCCAGTGGGTACTGCCAGGCCGCCTGTCCCACGCCTGCTCGGGATTGGCTGCCCGGTGAAGGCACCCTGTCTGGCATTCGCTGAGGACACCTAAGGCTGGCTATGGAGCCGTGGGGCTTTGCGAGGCCGGAACCTGAGAAGCCCCTCAGCGAGCCTCAGCGCTCTGAGTGTTTGAGCTGAAGGCGGGACCGCCCGTGGGGCGGGGCGTTGTCGCTGTTATGAGGCGTGTAGGGCTGTCTACCAGCTGCTCCCAGTTTCTGGTTTGTGAGCTCCGCGGCGCTCTGGGAGTCCAACCTGGTGTCTGTTGGTGATGGGCTCTAGTTGATTTCTGCGCTCCCCGGAGCGCTGCGCTCTGGGTACCCCACGAAAGTGGAGCGAGGGCCGAGGACCCGGGCAGGTCCACAGTTGGCTAACTCTGGGCCACGTCCAGAAGGTCCCAGGCACCCGGGGGAGACCTCAGCGAGGCTTTGGGGCCTTAGCTCTAGGTTCAGATCTTTGGCCCTCCCTTTTGAGTTTGTGGAATGGCGCAGCTGGCCACAGCCCTCGAGATTTCTATGATGGCGTGTTTTTGTGAATTGTTGAGGATGTAGATTTCAGTAAGTGTTTTGAGAAGCAGTGTCAAAGTTGTAGAACCGTGAGAAATGTCCAGAACTTTTGATTCGGTAATACTACCTCTGAGAATAAACCTGTTATATCCAACTTCATTGTATCGCAGCAGCAACTTTTAGGAGACAAGCATTAAACAACTGACATTATGACAAATGAATCTGTGTTCTTTTATCATATCAAGTTTTTTAAAAAGTGGAAAGCTGTAAGAGAATACTACAGCATATTAAGATTTCCCGTACATTTCTATTTTCCTTTGCTTTGCCTTCTGTATTAAAGCTGGTTTCTTTTGTATAGTAGAGGGAACATTTTTTAAGTGAGAACCTTCCTGATGATAAAGGCTCTGAAATTTTCTCTTGTTGAAATGATTATGTCACTTGAACCAAAAGGCATCTTGATTTTTTTAAATTGGGAAGTATTGACTTTGTATAGCAGAGGAATACGTTATAACGAGCATACGTACACTGATACTAATTTCACGTTTTAAATATTTAGGGTTGATTTGGGGGCATTTTAAACTTTCAGGAAAAAAAGTGAAAACTCTCTAGACTGTACTGAGAATCAAAGAAAATGCAAGAAGTAACCCTGCGAATACCAGGTGCTTATTTTTTCTAGATGTCCTTAGTTCAGATGATTTCAGAGGTCTGATTGTCAGGGAAGACGGTCTGGAGATTCAGCCTTGTGTTCACCCTGGAGTGCTGTTCCTCCTGTAACCACAGGAGTCACTCCCTTACTTCCTAGTCTTTCCTCCAAGGCAGAGATCCTAGATACAACAATGCCTAAAACAGAGTAGGCACTCAGAAAATAATTAGGAATGGACCCAATGGAGTGGTACCATGATATGGTTATAAAAGCACAGGATCACAGGTTGTAAAAGGTTACAAGTCTTCTTTACAATTAATCTACCTTATGAATTTGGGCAAGACACAACCTCTCTGGGTTAGTCTCAGTTTTCTCATTTATAAAATGAAGACTTTGGTGAGCAATTTCCAAGGTTCTTTCCAGATGTAAGAGCCTATTATTCCTCAAAGTCTTGTTTATATTGAGGCCTGTTATGGGGAACCAGCCTTCAAAGTTACCAGTTAACTTCTCTGACCAAAGGTGTCTTAGCCAAAGGAGTAGTATTTCTGAGGGTGGAGTTGTTACTTTACAGCCTCATGGTGTTCTTAAATCCTCTAACAGATGGGCACCTAAATAATAACTCAACAATAAAGCAAGAACAATTCTAAGGGAGCTACACTTCCAGTGTGCCCTATATAAGAACAAAGTGTGAGGTGAGCCGACAAGAAATGAAATTTGGGATCAGGGATTTAGCTCTGATTCTGCTGCCTGCCTCGAAAGCACAAGGACCTGAGTTCAATTGCCGGTACCAAAAAAAAGAAATGAAATTTGTACATGTTTTCTGCCACAGGAAATGACCATTTGGATCATTTTTATCTCTTTCTCTTTGGCATTTCCCTCCTCTCTTTCTCTCTCTGTCTCACATAAACATATGCATACACATCTTTGCTCTGGATTTGAAAAGGACTAGGTGGGGAGAAAAGCAAGAGCATAGAGGTACAGAAAAACAGTGAAATGCAATACAAATAATTTAAAATTTATAGAAGGAAAATGAGCTTGAGAGGTAAAAAGGAAAATCAAATTTTAAATCCTCAGTTATTTGGTTTCCTCTAGAAAAAAGTGAAAGATTGAGTCAGGGTTGCTCCTAAGGTATACAAGATCCAGCTGGCAAACATTCTGGGAAGGTGGTCTTACCAGGGAAAATTTGGATAAATCCTCTAGTTTCACCTGCTTTTGGTTGACTTTAAACATCACTAATTTTGGAGGTCACTCAGCTGACCTGTTATTAGTCATATACTAGCTCTGCTGTAGATAACTGTGATATGTGGGTCATGGTGATAGTGGTTGCTTAGATAACTTTTCAGGGACTGGAAGGCCACTTGTGTTGGAAACACTGACTACTTAGCCCTGGACACTTGCCTGTGTAAGTGTCCAATATTGAGTGACCTTTGACATCCGGAGGCCAAAAGCTCCACTCTTGAATCCTACCAATGCCACCCTTTCCTGAACGTGAATTCAATGAAGAGCCATTATAAAGACCAATTACTCCCCCTCCAATCACTTTACCCACACCTTAAAAAAAATCACCCAACTTCTTCATCCCATAAATTTCCCCAGGCCCATAGTTGAGACCTGACAGATTTGAGTCTTGGGTCTCCTCCCTCTTCTACATGTGGCTTCTGCATGTGCTACCTAAATTCTTCACGAAATTCATCCTTTCAATGATTGGTACACTGTGCAGCAGGGCAAAATAAGCCTGATTTGGTAACAGGGTCCCTATCTATTTAAACAATTTTAGTTAATTGCATTAACATGTACTTTTAAAAATTAATAGGCCTATGTAAGATATAGTGGATTTGCTGATGACGATTTAAAAAATGAAAGGTACATACACATTTGTTTATTGCTTAATCACTGTGCAAGGATTCTCCAAAGTGTTCATGTAGTATTTCTTCCTGCTTAGGTTGAAGAGCCTCTTCATATTCTTTATTGTCAAATGTACTGTTCCCAATTTCAAATCTTTCATCTGAATTTAAAAGAAAAATAGTAGTGCTATTGCTACGCACAATGCTGTGGCTCTTTGTCATTCAGCAGTGTAATTGTTGCCTCTGCATTACCCTAATATCTTTTGTGTAATTCTGATCATGTCATTACTCTTTAAGTTCCGTGACCCATGACACTGCTCCCGAACACTGACTTCCAATGACTTTCAAAAAAATGTGCTTTCTTGACCACAAATTCAAATCTAAGCCGAAGTGTGCAGTAAAATGTGAATGATATTTGTTTTCTAGTCAGTTAAATTTGCCACATGTGTTCCAGCCGTGTCTTGTCTTGGCTTCTTTAGGCCATAATCTCTGTATACACCTTATTAAAAATGCTTGAGACCAAAGGTGCTTCGGATTTCAGTTTTTTTAGATTTTGGAATGTTTGCACTGATCTTACTGTTCCAGTATCGCTAATCCATCATGTTGGTGCTCAAAAAGTTTCAGATCTTGGAGCATTTGCAATTTCCGATCTTTGGATTACAGATGTTAACACCTGGATTGGGGTCACCACTGCAGGTGCATGCATACACCAGCATAGACCACTGGGTGGCAGCAGAGGAAACTACATTTGAAATCCATTTTCTTCCTGAAGTTCTGGTGTACTGAGATTAGAGAAGCTTAACACATTTAATGCTCAGTATAAAAAAATAATTCAGGCCAAGAATAATGCAGTTTGCCTCTCAGAAAAGGCCATCCATTGTCTCTTTTTCCAAGAGGCACATTTACAGATTTATATCTCCAGTGAGGGAAGCAGTTATATGGCTCCCCTCTGCCTGCCAATATCGTTCTTTATTGACCAGAGCTAAAGTTTGGTAGACTTTATTTTGAAACTAAAACTACATCTCAATACCTCTTATTTTTGAGATGGTACAAACCTACATAATCTTGTATCCATGAGGCCTTTGGTACTTAGATGTTTTGGGGTTAATGTGCTTTTCCTTTGTGTATAAACCAAATGCAAGAAAACAGTTTTAAAAGTGTACTATTGTGTATTACAATCATGAATTTGATTTTTTTAAAAATTGAGTTGGTGACTGGGAACAGAAAAGTAACAAGGATGACAGAGTAAGTATAGCTGTGAACAATTCAGGTTTGGAAAATATAAAGAAATCTTGAGTTAAGCATATATGAAGGAAGCAATTTAGATTGTGGGGGGAGTACAGAAGATGACAGAATTGCAGTTAAGTCAGCAGGCCTCTATCTGTCAGGTGCAGAATTTGATGTGGTAGCCAAAAGCATTGCAGCAAAATGTAAAGTAGTATTAGCACATAATTAATTCTAATTATATTTCATTGTGATATAAATCCAGTAAGCATAAAAGGGGAAGTACTATGACTTTAATGGAAGAATTTTATTTAACTGGCTGTGGAACAAAAGAATAACAAAAATATATAGAATTAAATTTATTTCATTTGAAATGAATAATAACACAATGAGATCCCAAAGATGTGTACTATCCTTTAAATATTCATGTAGATCCCATAAAACACTTTGAAGCCATGTAGAAGAGCCAAAACAGTTATACTCCTTTACCAGAAAGCTATGGTGGAAGGTTATGATTAACTGTCTCAAAGTATAACCCTCATATGTCATACTCAGAAAGAGTTTGATGTAGAAAGGTCTTCAGAAGTCAATAGAAACAAAGTTTCCTGGTATTAGCTATAAACAACAAACACCTTTCTGATGATGTAATGCTATAACTTTATACATTCTTTGATTTTGCTGCTAGTTAAAAATCTTATTGAAGCGTCTTTACTGTGATACAGTTTGTGAAAACTAATAAATGAACTCTGAGCATGGTATAAAGGGTTGATTTAACTAGTAAGTCTAGTACAAAGAATTTCAAAAACTCTCATGTATATAAAGCCATAGAATTTTAGAGCTGGAGGAGAACTTTGAGAACAAATGGTTAAGACCCTCCATGTTGATCAGCTCATGTATCAAAGGAAACTAGAACCATAGTTGCCTTCCACAACATACTTCTGTTTTGTTTCTAATATCCTCTTATAAGTTCGTATCAACACATAGTAGTTAGTAGATAGCTTTTCCTAGCCATTTGAAAAACAGTATATTAATATTCTTTAAAAAGCAGAATGCCAATGGATATCTTTAGAGAAAGTTCAAAATCAAACTCAATGATACTTTCTTCCAGAAGCAACCTGGGTCTACTATGATGCCAGCATATTGTAAATATATTGACCTATTAACCTGTCAACATGAAAATCTTGACAGATTTAGAAAGGATCTCAAGAATTCACTTAGTTTCCTTTCTTGCCTTCCAGAAGATAGAATATAATTAGCCTTATTTTATAAATGAAACAGTTAACACACAGAGAAATGAACTGGTTTGTGCACAGTTAAAGAATTAATAGGTAATAATGAGGGAAGGACAAGTCTCCTGACCTACTCTAAGCAATCTCTTATGGAGGAGAAAAAAAACCCTGAAAATATTTTTCATTTTCTACTTGTCGAAAGACTCAGAATTTGATTCATATTAGAATCTTCATTAATTGTGTAAAAATACCTGGAAAATGGTAGCATATGTATTAGATAATCAAGTTATTTGGTCTCCTTGAAAGTGAATCTTGAAAGTTAAGTTGACCATTGGCATTTGGTCCATTGATAGTAAGAAATCATTGCTTTTACTTAAAAATGAATAAATAAAAGCCCTCAGATGGTATATTTTGGCCAGTGAGCTAGTTGCTTAGGTGAACATGGCAAAAGTCAGGCATGAGATGCAATATGTATTTGAAATACTCTAGTTATAGAAAATTGTCCAATAATGGAGGTTGCATTTAGCACAGCTAGGCCATGAAAGTCAAGCAGGTGTTACCACCTTTGGAGTTCTAGTAATAGATATACAAATATAAGCTTAGTTGTCCATACAGATTTTAAGGGCAAAAATACAATTTGGTGGAGAAAAAGTACATAGTGGAACACAGAGGGAACACTTTCGAGAATAAATTTTATCTACTAGCCATAAAAATTCTATAATGGAGTTGCTACAAATAACATTTAGGGTACTGCTGATGAAACAACATTGCATCATTTTTTTCTGCATTATGGCTGAATGACAACATCTTCTTAGCATGTCAGCAGGTTAGAAAGTGCATTTTATCCTGCTCCCCAGGATGTCAAATATTCAGGCTTGAAGAAAGAGGAGAAGATAATGAGACTTTCCTGGATATTATGCAAAGTTAGAAATAGAGAAAGCCAGAAATTAAAGGGACAGAAAATAGTAATAGAAGGCATGGAATTCAAAGAAGGGAAGAAGGGAAATTTATTAGCTCTTATTTTATTAAATATTAATTTTCACACAGCTTCCAAGTAACAGAGCTGAGATGCAAACTAAGATGGAAAAATTTCATATTTTTCTTTATATGTGTGTGATACATAATTACATCTTGGGAAATTGATACATATACATATCACATATTATATAATTTTTACTTCCTTTTTCCTTCCCCATCCTTCCCTCTCCCCCCATTGCCCAGACCCTTCCATCTCCACAAAGTCTACCTCCCTTATTCATATCAACTATCTTTTATTTTGTGCTCCTTAAATTATTTATACTATGGGCTTCTTTCAAAAGAGAAATGATATTTAACTTTTTTCTGATTTATTTAAAATTATGATCTAAAGACAATCACTTTCCTACAAGTGACTCAAATTTATCTTTCTTTATGACTGAGTAGTCCTCCTTTGTGTATATATGCCAGATTTTCTTTATTCACTTATCTGTTGATGTATATGTATACCATTTCCAAATTTACCTATTACAAAGAATGGTGCTATAAACATGGCTATGCATGTATCATTGTAATATGATGTCTTTAACTCTTTCAGGAAGATACCATAGAAGAGGTATAGCTGAGTCAAATGGAATTTCTAGTTTTAGTTTTTTGAGAAATCTTCAAACTGATTTTCATAATGGTTTACTAATTCACATTCCCACCAACAATGTAGAAGGGTTCCCTTTTCCCTACAACCTTACCAGCATTTGTTGTTTTTTGAGTCCTTGATGGTATCAGTCATGTAGAATGGAATCTCAGTGTTATTTTGATTTGTATTTCCCTAATGGCCAGAGATGCTGAACATTTTTTCATGTATTTATTAGTCATTTGTAAGAAGTGTCTGTCTATTTTGATTGCTCATTTTTTTATTGGATCTTTTACTTGGGGTAGTTCGATTTTTTTGAGTTCTTCATATACTCTAGATATTATGTATTAGATGTTAGAGGACTAATATCTAGAATATATGAAGAACTCAATTCCAGAAGTAGCTAGAAAAGGTTTTTGTTTTTTTTTTATTAGACCAATGTGACTCAATAGGCACTGCCACACCTTCAGTGAAATTTCAAACAGATAGATTGGCACAACTATCAGATCAACTGACTATGGCATTGATGTTTTGGATGGGTTTCTATAAACAAATATCAAAAATAAAAGAAAAATCTAGAAATGTCCTCAAAAATCCCATCATAAAATTAAGTACCTGCCAAGCAACTTGACTTGTGAAAGGTGATGTTGTCAAGGTTTTAACTCAATACCTCCTAATTTTTCTTCCTCATTATCTTCAACCACCCTATCTCCAAGGGAGCTGTACAGACCGTGTGTGGCATCTTCCATGCACAGAAGACTGGGTGCTGAAATCTCTTTCCAGTCCTGACACGAAGGGATTCGGATCTGTTGAATATCTTCACTCCCAGGAACAAAGCCAAATAATTTCTTTATGCACTGCCTGATGAGGAGCCAGGAGTGCTCCTCTGCTGCCTGTTTAAAGAGCTCTCTCTCATTTTCTAGATGGTGGGTCCAGTAGTGATGCTGCAGAGTCGAGAGAGAATAGCACCTGGCCAGACAGCAGAAGACTAGGATAGCAGTGGTTGTCAAGATGATCAAAATCCAGCCCAGCATCTTTGCATAATTAGAAAGGAAAATAGAAATAATCAATGCATCAAATATTCAAAGGATTCCTATAAAACTGAGAACTAAATGTGAGTAAAAGCTTTGTCTTCGCCTAACATGGTGGTGTGTGCTTGTAATCCCAATGCTCTTGGAGGCTGAGGCAGGAGGATCACAAGTTCAAGCCCAGCCTGGGCAATTTAGTGACTTAGCAAGACCCTGTCTCAAAATAAAGAATGCAATGGTGGGGTGGGGGATAAAAAAATAAAAACTTTGTTTTTCCAGTCTTTAATACATTAACAAAATGCTGACCATTTGATGTGGAAATAGATCTGATGAAAGGCTAGGTCAAGCCATTTCAACTTGATTTTTTTTGGATTACAGAGGAATTTGACCAGTTAATGTGGTACTGCTCTTGAAGTGACAGATGATATAACCCACTAATTAACTTTATATAAGATACATAAACACTGTTATTTGCTTACAGCTCAGCCTTACTTTTCAACCTTAAGTTACAAGCTCATACATTCTTTGGGAACTTAATAATTATTTGATAATGATGGTGACAAAAATGATGGTGTGATAGAATGTAATGGTAGCCTCCAAAGATGTCTTCAGTGACATGCCAACAAGTATGCATTGATATTTCTTCCTGCATTGCTCTCTCCTTTTTACTTTTTGCAACCAACAAAGTCAGTGAACAGACTTCTGCCTCTAAATGTATTATTGATAGTACAGTACAGTCACTGCCTTATAACTGTTTTCCTTCCAAAACAAACTAGTTTTTGTTTGAGACTATTTAGTGCCTGCTTTTAAAGACTGACATAAATAATTTCTAGTCTTAGAATCCTTTTCTTGCCTTTTATTATTGTTTTTTTAAATATAGCAATTATTATATAAAGTAAAGAAGACAAGTCACACATTTCAGGAAGCCAGCAGTATGCAGCCAGTCTGCCCAGGGAGGCCTCTGTGCACTTTGCCATGCACTGTAGGCCTGGCATCAGCAGGATATGCACAGACACAGTTGCACTCTAAAAGCTACAAAGTGATATGCACAACAGTTTAGCTTCGTAGAGGCCAGCATAAAAGAGGAAAAACCATTCAGATGCCCATTAATTCATCAATTATCATTTATTGAGCTACAGGTTGACTACCTACTATGTACTACATGTGTTTGGTAATGGAAGTAAGATAGGGATTTATTCTCTGTATGTTCTTTAAACCTGGAAAGGGAAATGAGGAAGCCAAGATAATAGAGTGTGATAGTTTCTGATCTGAATCAACATAGCACCTAAGGAAACACAGTGGAAGAGAAATGGACTCACAGAAGGGAGAGAAGAATCAGGGAACACTTCCCTAAGATGATACTCAAACCTCAATTATTAAAAAAGAAGTTGACCAGATTGAAGAAGTTAAGGAGAGTTCCAATAAGGGAGAAGGTAGGAAAATAAGAGCATGAAGAGTTGGGAGAACTGCAAGAACACAGGCTCATTGGAATCATGGGAAATGGGTCAAGAACCAGATACTGTATGTCGTTCAAGGAATTTGGATGTGTGCTTAGGCTGGTATCATTGAAATGATTTAAAGAAATCAGTGAAAGAATTTAAGGGGGGGAAAGAGAGCTGATAGCCTAATTTGCATTTAGAATGATACTATACTTTGGCATATGGAAGAAGATAGATTGAACTGAGTGAAACCAATATCAGGAGCTTATTATCAACCCTGGAAAATCCAACTGAAAAGCAATATATATTCTTCAAATGACACTGAAGTTCAAAATAGTTTCAGAAGGCAAACTGGTGAAATGGAAACAAGGTGATCTTTGGATATCATGATCAGCAATTTATTAACTCTGAATTTCTACAAGCTACATAAACTCTTTGAGCTTTGATTTAGTCATCTGTAAAATGGAGTTAATAATCTTTTCCTCAATTTTAAAGATTAGAGTTAAGGTATAAAATATTTGCACAATTCTATATATGATTAATATCTAAAAATACATAGATTTTGTTACCACAAAACCAAAACTTCTATTGATATGGTATTTAGAACTGTCAAACTGACTTTTCACAGAAATCTGTGATGCATTTAATGATATATGTTTACCTTAAGAAAATCTTGCTGTTGTGTGTTATGTTCTAGTTTTTCTTAAGCAAGAACATTTTTGAAAGTTATAGTTGTGCCATTGATTCTTTTTTTTTTTTTTTTGACTTTTCACTTTTGACTTTTCACAGATCCTCACATAGCTCCTATGCCTGAGTTCTAGGGTCAGACTACAACATTGATATTCTCTGTCTTGCTTGTGATTTTTTTTCAACTAAGTAACATTGGCACTTCTAAATTTTAATAATTGAAAGGCTACAGTTCAAAAAACATTTGTGCATTTGCAATGAATAGTTTTAAAAACAGGTTTCTAATGAATTGCAGTAATTTCAAAATATGTTTTTTCCCAAATCCCTTGGAGAAACTGATAAAAATCAATGGCTCTTTCTTTCCTGACAAAATGCAAGAATTGCACTTCTAAAATTTAACCTCTAAGTGTAGTAGCTTCAGGCTTTCATCCCAGTCCATTCACCCGCTGCCACAAACCTGCCATAAACCTGCCATGAACACTAAATTTAGAAACATCATTGGAGACTTTTAAATCATAATCAAACTTCCTGTAATTTCAGATGAGTTTTTAACATGTAAGAACGTATATGTGAGAATATATATACAGAAGTCTGGGTCTCATAATATAGTATTAATATTCATAACAGTATCTAATATTCATTATTACACCATAGATTCTAGTTACAGTACTGAGAATTTTAGATACATTAGTTGATTTGTTCTTCACAAAAAACCTATGCAGTAGATACTATGAATATTCCCATTTTATAGCTGAGAAAGTAAAGATGGCTGTTATATAACATACTCAAATTCTTCAGGTTAATAAATGGCAAAGCAAGATGGAAACCCAGGTTAAATGACGCAAAGCCCAGTATCCTAACTACATATAGCTGCTCAATAGGACTCATTTTGATGAATGACATCTAGTTTGTGTACTATGATCAGGCATTATGAGAAGCAGCAGAAATATGAAATGTTTCCAGTGATTGCAGTAACTATGTATGTAGTATGGCAGGAAAAATATTAACTTACTTGTGACTGGTATCTGTGCAGAAGAGCTACTTCATCTCTTACTAGGATCATGTCAGAAGAAGCTGATGGCCTGTCACATGGCAATCCAGCTAGCAGCTCTTCTCGTTTGCTGGCAGTGACATTATCAAACACTGAGTAATGGTCCACAGATGTAAACTCACTTTTTGCACATTGATAGTAGGTGCCTTTCAGCAGGGTCACTGCCAGCCAGGTCAGCGGAGCAACAAGGGCTCTGCCAGTGATGCTGAAGAATCTAAGGCAAGCCAGTCTGTGCTCCAGGGGACTGATTCTCTGCTGTAGAGGGCCGCAACTGCAGCAGTAGTTGCTAGCAAATGTCCACATTTGGCCTCTTAAAGCATAGCCAGCAACCAGAAGGACCAAGGCAGGAACAACAAGAAAAACTGAACCATAATAAAAATTTCTCCCAACCTGACAGGGACATCTGAATATATAAGAGGAGAACAGTTGTTGCCCACCAACAGTCCAACCTGCAATAAAGGAATTGATAAATGTCCCACTTCTCCATAGAGAAGATACAGTATTGCTGAGATTCTGGCTCATCCTGGGAAGCTCTGACCCAAATTGGCTGTAGCCCTGTCTGATCATTACACTGCATAGCTACAACCATTTTATAGGGTCTTATTGGTTTAACTGGTTGTGTCAAGTGACCCAACATCCTTACATGTTTAAAGGATTCTGGCATCTTTCCTTATGTACTTTGTGAATCCTAAGCTAAAACCACATGTCATGTTATGGCTAGAAGAAATTGAGGGGATCTCAGTTCTCATCTAGTAGGCATACGGGGGAAACTTTTTAATGTACCTTCTTATTTAAAAAAAAAAAACAGAGCATAGCTTCCTTGCAAAGCAAACCACCTCCATCTTTCTTTGTGCTATTTTGTACAACACAAAATGCTAAGCACCAGCAAATAGTGTTGGAAGCAAAACAGAGACATTTTTATCTTTGTCCTAGACCGTAATTCCAATGCCATGAAGTTATAATGTTCAAAATAGTTAAATTTATAAAATACAAGAGCAGTCCAAAACTTAAGCCTAGTTGGAAATTCCATAACCTAAGGATTCTGCCAGAAGATCCCAAAAAGTGTTTCAAAGGAGAAGAAAACATAGATACCTGCATAGCCAAATCCCAACAAAAACATTTTGATTTTACAAAAGAATTTTAAATTTGTTGGTTTTGACAAAATATTTCTATGTGTTGTTTTAAAAGTTAAGTTTAAAATTTACATAGTAACTTTTGTTATTTAAAAATGTGATATTTGACTTTTGATAGTTATATATCTATGAATAATTAAGTGATCAAATACATAAACTATTTTCAATTTAATCAGCAAACATTTATTCAACAATTTCTAGATGAAGGACACTGGATTAGGCTGGGTGGGCTTATACATTTCTCTTAAGTAAACACTCAACTGGACATGGTTAAATACCTAATTAGTGAATTCAAACATAGTGCGGGGAAATTTATCCAATATGCAATTTTAGAAAAACACAAATAATATATTTTAAAAAGCAGGGAAGGGAAGTAAAAGACAGATTAAGCAGCTCCACAATCTGTCTACTAGGAGTTCCAAAAAAACAAAGGAATAGAAAGTGAAGCAGTATTTGAAGAAAGATAATTGAGAGCAGAATCAAAGTGAAAATTTCACATCAAAAGAATGTTGGTTGTTCCAAACAGTGTAAATAAAGGTAAATTCTCATCTAGATACATCAGAGTAAAACTGTAAAATGAGAAAAATGAGATATTCTTAAAAGCTCCCAGAAGCAGACAGAAAACCCACAAAAGAATGACAGTAAATGGACAGCTGGCTTCTCATCAGTAACATTAGAGAGAAGAAGTTAATATCTTTAGGGTGCTTAGAATCAACTATCATTTGAGACAGAGCAAAATAAAAAGCACATGAAGACTAAGGTCATTTACATCCCAAAGAAACTCATTAAGAAGATTACTAAAAAAAAAAAAAAAAAGATTATTAAAGGATATGTTTAAGCAAAAATAAAAACAAACCCTGAGGAAATATATGGGAGCAAAAAATAATAATGAACATAATATTTTAAAAGGCTCATTAAATTTAATTAAATTTAAATTCAATTTAATAATTAGCTACACAAACAACTATTTTTGTTTCAAAAGATATAACAAAGTAATATATCACTACATAGCTACTAAAATGGCAAAAATTAAAAATATTAACCATGTGAAATGTTGACAAGGATACAGAACTGGAACTCTCATATGTTGATGGTGGGAATGTCAAGTGGGACAAACTGCTTCAGAAAACTGTCATTTTCCTTAAAAGTGAATCGTATCTCTGCTGTGTAGCATAGTCATTTTTCTCTTAGTTATTTATACCAGAAAGATGAAAATGTGTCTACCTAAAAACTTGTCCATGAACCTCCATAGCAACTGTCTTTAAACTGGAAGTGACCCAAATGTCTATCACTGGATGAATGAATCAACAAACTTTATATATCTATATAAGGGAATACTCCTCAACAAAATAAAAGTAAAAAATAATTGATATACACAATAATATGAATAGACTAGAAATAAATTTCAAGGTGAAATAATTCAGAACATGAATATGATTCTACTTGAATTAAATTCTACAAAGTATAAATTAATCTATAGAGACAGAAAACACACCAGTGCTGCCTAAAGAGTAGAGGAGAAGTAAAGAGAGAGACCACAAAGTAGAATGAGAAATATTTTGCAAGTTATATCAACTTATACTCTCAGAGTTTTAATTTATGGAAGTGACTGAGTGACAGAAAAGAGACACCAAGCTGGGGATTTAGCTCAGTGGTGCCACAGTCTGCCCCACAAGTGCAAGCACCCAAGTTTGATCCCTGGTACCAAAAAAAAAAGAGAGAGAGAGACACCAAAGCCATTTCAATGCCATTGAGAGAATTTGTTACTTATCTTTCTTCTAGGCAAGGAAGCATATGTGGTGACCTTCTGTATATGGTCACATAAGAAAGTATTGGACTTGACTAGGGAAGCCTGGGCCACAGCTTTTATGAGGCTTTTTGTCAGTAGAGCAGGTAAACAGGATTGGCTGGTTTAAATAATTCCAGTGGTCTTTGGAGCCCAGAGATTGATCCTGCATGTTTACAACTTGTCATGTGTTAATTTAGGGCAGGGAATTTGGCTTAGTATGTGAAAGTGAAAGTTAGATAAGGAGCTGGTTCGGTGTATGGGCCCATCATACATATATATATATCAAATTAAACGATAAAAATTTTAAGAAAAATCACTTAGAATAGAAATACAATGTGTAGAACATTCAGAATAGAGGAAAACAAAGTGACTATTGACAGGAAAAGAGGTAGTAAACAAAGAGAAGTGTGATAAAGAGAAAATATAAAACAATGGTAGAAATGAGACCATCAAAGTAATACATCAAATAATCACAATAAAATTTTTAAATAGCTAACAATTGCGCAATGCTTATTACAGTCTAGGTGCTGTTCTAAGAATTTCATCTTATTTAATCGCCACAATAACCTAAATGAAGTACTAATATCCAAAATGGTTTTACACATGAGCATACTGAGGCATGGAGAGATTAAAGAAATTTCCCAGGGTTATACACAGATGAGTAGAAGGACCAAATTTGGGATGTAGATGGTCTGGCATTTCTTTTAACTTTTGGAACAGAGCTGGCTTAAATTTGCTTATAAAAGTGATTAAAATATAGTCATTATCTTACAAGAGACACTTCCAAAACTATAGTATTCAAAATGTTTTTAAAAAGGCACTGAAATATAGATCATTGGGAGTAATATTATTAACAGAATATTAATATTCTGAACTTTAGGCAAAAAGTGTCAAAAGGGCTAATTTTGGACACTGTCATAGTAAAAGCAAAGATCTATCAAGAAGATGTGACATTGTCAACTTGTATCTGTTTCTGTATAACTTTGAAATATATAAAGGAAAAAGCTGATCAAATTGTGAGAAATTCTTATCATAGAGAAAATTTTAACACACCTTCATCACAAATGAATTGATCAAGTCAACATTAGAAAGAATGGAAAATACGTAAAGAATAAATTCAGCAAGTCTTATCTAACATATATCTGTATATATATAGTATTCTATATCCTAACAATAGAAAATAAAGATTTTTATAAGTTCCCTCAAAAATCACTTGCCAAAATATATTGACCATGTAATATTACTAAGAAAATTTCAACATTATGTCCAATAATATGAAAATAGATTAATCAACTGTGATAAAAATATTAGAGAATAGGGGTCAGCAATCTGTGGTGTATGGGCCAAATTAGCCCACTGCCTGTTTTGCCTGGCTTATGAGCTAAAAATGGTGTTTATATTTTAAAATGGTTGACATTTTTAGAAAATATTTTGTGATGTGAAAATTTAAATTTCAGTGTTTGTAAATAAAGTTTTATTGGCACACGGCCACATTTATTAGGTGTGGATGGCTGCACTACAAGAGCAAGACTGACTTGTGGCCTAATATGTATGGCTGCAAAAATGAAAATATTGCTATGTAGTCCTTTACAGAAAAGTATTGCTAGCTGGCATGGTGGAACATCCCTGTAATCCCAGCACTTGAGAGGCTGAGGCAGGAGGATGTCTGTAAGTTCCAGGCCAGCATGGACTACATAGTGAGACCTTGCCTCAAAAAAGGAAGAACTAATTTTTGTTGACCCCTGCTATAGGTCTGTAAAAATAAGTTTTCTAGAGTGACAGGTATTATATATGAGTAAATCTTAGAAACTATAAGAAAAATTCAAGTTGCTGGATAAGTGCAGTATGATACCATTATATAAAATTTTAAATACTATGTATTTCTTATAGATAGTGTGTTAGCTTTCTATCAGTGTGACACAATATCTGAAAAACAACTTAAAGAAAGTCAAGATTTATTTTGGCTCACGATTTCATTCCATGGTCAGCTGGTTCAGTTGCACTGGGCCTAAGGTGAAGCAGATGCACCTGCCAGTAGCCCATTGATGAGTAGTTAGGGCCCTCAGAAGTCAGTTACTTCCCAAAAGCTCATTTCTGAAAACATGAGCCTTTGAGGACATTTTAGATCTGAAACATAACAGATATTATCATGTAGCATTTTGAAACATGCAGAGTAATGATCGATATCAAATTCTGAATATTGGTGACCACAGAGGAACAGAGAACAATAGGATTAGAGAGGATACAGGATATTTCAGCTGATTCAGTTCTGCTCTGTTGATTGAAACTTAGACTGAAGTGTATATATAGCAATATGTTATGCAATGTTTGGTGGTAAATTTATGTTAATTTCATATTTAAACATTCACTAAAGTATATGGGACATAAGGAAATGGAGAAGGAAAAAAAGAGGACTGAGCTAGTTCTATCCAGCCCTTTTATAAGGTTCTAATTCATTCATGAGGACAGAACCCTCATGACTTGATCATTTCTCATAAGGCCTCACTTCTTAATAACCCTACAATGGGGATTAAATTTCGATATGTGCATTTTGGGAGATGTTCCCACCACAGCAGGCTTTTCAGGCAAATTTTCTGCTT